TTGTTACAGGAATTTAAAATAAATAACAAAACATATTATATATGAAAATACAGAAATATCAGGAACAAACATGCACACAGTCATGCACGTTTGGAACGACATGCAGGTGAGTAAATGACAAGCAAAAATTCTAAAACTGTATTTAAGAGAGTCAGATGGAAACCCAGCGAAGAACAACCTTTCTTCCTGCTGTGCATCATTGGAAATCATGAGTTCTTTTTGATAATTGTATTGTACATCACACCTAATTAAATGTCCATAAGCACCAATACAGCGAGAAGAGCAGGGCATTTCTGCCTGCGGCCGAGCCCCCAGAGGCAAGCAGCAATCACTCTATTAGAGGCAGCGCTGTGCTGCAGCTGAGCTGGCCAATATCAGCAAATTAGTTTAGCCACGGGGATGGGGGAAGGGTGCCACGGCAACACACACCGACAACAATGTCAGTCATCGGGCATATGCAGCCGGCCCAAATTAACAGGAGGAACAAGTGAGGGAGGCAGGCAGAGACAAAGAGGGTAGAGCTGGAGACTGTGATTGACTCGAGGATAAAGGCTTCTGCTGTTTATGATCGATTCGGTGCTGAATTGTCTTTGTGTCCGAGCAACCCCAGAGAGATCTTTCTCTTCCTGTCTCACCTCTTCTCCTCAAAGCCAACAACGTCTCAAGTTTCCAGCCAACAGTGTCAAACAGGACTCATTGCATAGCTGTTTTTCCTATTAGCAACAGATACTTAACAATGTGTCACCCTCGTCACATTAATACAGCGTATGTCTTATGCACAGCACTAATGGGCTGAGGCCGTAAAATAAATACACAGAGGCTGTCCACGTCCTTGAAATCAGTATGCACTGCTGGCTTTTAGACACACAAAATGGTGCTGGGCTAACAGCGGCCCATTATCACACCTGAGCTGAAGCAAAGTCCTGTATTGTAGGAGATACAAGCACAGTTCCTCTCTACTTGAGAGAAAGACATAAATCTTCAAAACTATGTAGGACTGCGTTTGAACATATTTTAAAAGAGCAATAAAATCTGACACTGGTATCATAAATTTTGCAGTTTAAGCTCAAAAAACACTAAAAACACAATTATTCTGGTCTAGCTATAACAGTGACCACACTCTTTTTCAGCAGTGTTAGATCTGGAAGTATTTTCCCCATTCATTTTCTCTATATGGATCTCAAAAGACTCTTCAATAAAGTAAATTTTAAAGCATAAACCAAACCAACCAGCTCTGAAATAAATCATAACATTACACATTTTGATTTGAAGGTATAAGAAACCCTGGAAAAAAAACTACGATCTGATGAAGCTTTTCATAAAAACTATGGTACAATATAAAACAAATCAAATTATAATGAAGTCTTATTAGTATTAAAAAATATTAAAAAAAAAAAAATCTAAAACGTATTTGTGATTTCAAAGCTGAATTTACTTTGCTCCACTTCTACTACTTTACTTTAGCCTTTACTACAGTCTTAAGTAGGGCTGAACGATTTTGGAAAATAATCTAATTGCGATTTTTTTCACCAATATTGTGATTTAATATGCAATTATTTTTTAAAGCTCTTTATGAGCTATAAATCATTGTATAGTATGACCAACACACTATTAGATAGATTAAAACACCGATCGATCTTCAAGTGGAACACACCTCTTTACTCTGGTGTGTCACGTGACCGAGTGTAATCGCAGTCTCTGCGATTGAAAAATCTTGTTTTTTCATATCTCGATATTATCGCAAATGCAATTAATCTTTCAGCCCTAGTCTTAAGTGTCACATGATCCTTCAGAAATCATTCTAATATGCTCATTTGCTGTGCAATAAACAGTATCATCAACACTGAAAAGAATTGTCCTTCTTAATGCTTTTGTGGAAACTGATATTTTCTTTGATGAACAGAAAGTTTAATAAAACAGCCTTTTTGACAAATCTTTGTAGCAACATAAATGTTGCAATAAACAAATGACGCATATGTGTGTGTAAACAAGCAAACAAGTGGGCAATGCTCTTTAAACTGAAAGGCGGGGCTTGTGTGCGTAAGAGTTGGATAGACGGACAGAAGACATACATATAGCAGCAACTCACTATATTCCCCACCCCTTTCTTCCTCTGTTAATTATTTTTTAATCTGTCTTTATCACAGAAATATTTACACAAGCTGAGGATAGCTCAGTTAGCTGTGCCTTAATCACAATTTGTGTATGAAATAGGGATGACGGTGTGCGCTCACAAACAAGGGTGGAGGCACCTGTCTTTGGACATCTTTAAGCTCGTTTAAGCAGGAGGCTCATTCAGAATATGAATATAACTGAGGGGGAAAAGGAAAAGGTTGAGTGAAAAGCGTGTCAATTAACGGTCTAATTTGGACTGAGTGAAGGGCAGAAACATCTCTGTGACAGTGTGAAGATCTGTGAATGTGTGTGCATCAACATACAAGCCATACACATCGGCCAACCGCACACACAAAAAGATCTCATCGCTCAAAGTGGGCAGAGGAATTGATTGCAGCATGCAGGTTTTCTCTGTGGTGCTAACTGGATTCCCAGGTCATTAGATAAAGTACACAGGGTGACATTGTTCAACCCTTAAGACTAGAGGAGAACCATATTAATGAGGTTATTTTGTCAGAAGCGAGGCAATTTCCTCAACTCACGGCAGAAGAGGGTCGCTGAGAGAGAGGCTTACGTGACGCTGCATGAAACAGAAGCTCTCAAAAGCATGCTAGCAAAAATACGGCTGAAACCTGTCCTCCAGAGAGCCATGATCGTTACGCATGTAATGAATTCACTTTATTATGTAGAACCACTCTGTAAATCCGCTAATGCTGGAACCTTTCCGATATCCTCATTTACCGTTATGGCCCACTATCCCGTTCTGCCCTGCTCAATACAAGTGAATGAATCAAGCCAGTGTTAAGGGCAATTGACCTCAAGGTTTTTCCAGCACATTTCAGTGGACAGATGCTCGCTTCCCAATTAAAAGGAGGGCTGACAGCCGGCGTTTAGAGGTGAGCATCTGAGCTGTAGCAGCACGTCCATTACACTTGTTTCAAACGAGCTGAACAATGCCACAGCTTTGAAACACTCATATTCCACATGTTGGAAAAAAAGCAGTGCACTTAATAGGAATGGCCAAATGACATTTTTAAAAGCAATTGATTTGCGTTGCCTAAACAACAAATTGACTCAACCGGTCTCAAAAACGAAATAAATGAATAAAAATAATAATCATATACGTAATTACACACACATAATAAATATATATATATATCTATCTATCTAATCATATAATCATCACACACACATATTATATATATATTTAATAAAACATCTTAAAATACTAGTTGACCTCACTAATCGACTTGCCAACAATAAGAGACAGGAGTAGCTGCAGGTCGGAGTCACGGGTGTGGCAAAAGGTGGCATGCCGACAGGTGAATGCTACAACAGAAACTAACCCCTAACCATTTAGAAAGACCTTTATCCACGCCCCCTAACTTTTGGCATGCCCTAATCTTTAGCCACGCCCACTGCTCTAACCTGCAGTTATTCCTACTTGAACAATTTGACAACTGACAGCTGACTAGTTGTCCATCATGACCCATGCCTAAAAATTACATGTCAAACCTCTATCCAATCCACTTCACGGCCAACAACATGGATGAGCATTGACTAATTACATGGATTAAGGTGGTACATGATAGAAAGGAGGGCCAATGAAGCCTTGTCTTCTCCTCTGACATTTACAGCCATCAGACAAAGACCCCTAGATCTGCACCTAATCAAGATGAAGATAATCACGAAACATACTATATGTTATTCTTGGCAAGAGCAAGATTCTGCTGCCCTCAGCACTCTTCAGAGCAATCCGATTACAGGCTGCTTGGATGCCCGGGCTCTGGCACGCACTCCTCTACCTACCCTCCCTTCCTCTGCACATCTTTCTCACTCATCCAGCCAGCCCTGAACCCCCCCCCTCCACTTCAGCTCCTGTGGCTGTCATAAGCCAGTCTGCCCTGTGTCCACCCCCCTGCCATCAGCACCTTAGCTGTTCAGTACCATTAACAAAGCCTCATGGGTCTTCCTCCACACACTCTACGGGGGGGCTGAAGGACCTCTCGGCTAATCGTCTCCTGCTGAGGGGAAGTAGCCATCAGAAAAGTCATAATGTGCTTATTTGCTTGTGACATAACGTTATCTCAACATAGCAACCATCGAATGTGGCACCCATGGAGGAAAAAAAACGTAGCTGTCTTCTGGCTGCTGGAGGAAATAAATCGGGAAAATATATATTGGCTTAATAAAGCAGATTGAATCTGAGGTGGTTTTGCTCTCTAATCAATGTGTCCTTTGAAGATTCAAGCTTTTTAAGTAGCCGATTAATAATCTATATAAAAAGTGTCGACGAGGAGCGGATCAAGTGGCGAGAACTACGATCCGCAACAAGAGTTTTTCTTTCCCTTTCTCTCACTTTTTTTTAATTGATCAATTAACGGCATGTAAAACCAAGCTGGCGCTACAACGTAAACATGTGTGAGCTAGACGAGGCTTTGTAGAGAATATCTGGTGCTCCGCTTCACACAAGCTAATTAAACTTGTAAATCTCAGTGTGTTGCAGGCTGATTTTCCTACAAGAGTAAAAAACACAGGCATTAAAAAGTAGAAAAAGCCAACTGTCAGCACATTTAATTTCCAGAAAACACCCATAAGCCTGGTTAAACAAGTGTACAGGAAAATCTGAAGGTATGAAACTTAATTTCCAACACTGTAGCAACATTGCTACTGGACATCAACTACAACCAGCTATTTCACTGCAAACCTGTACTGAAATGAATCAAGGCAATTACCCACATCAAACCCTTGTGTTTGATCCTGCTTTTGACGTATAGAAAAAGATAACAAATGAAACACAATGGCAACACAGTTACATAAGGGCTGGCGGAGAGGGAGCCTTGATTGGGACAGATGAGTGGAAGGAAAAAGCCAAGTCAACTCACCAGCTTGAAGTCCTGAATGCTACAGATGAAATAGGGTGTGTTAGGCCGTCGGCTCTCTATGTACACACAATCTGTGAAGAAGACAAATAAGAGCGTTACTAACATCATCTAGACTGTCAGATAAGATGATCTCAATTATCTTAATTTCTCAAACCTGCACAAAATCTGTTTCCCTTTGTAAAACACAACTGGAATGTGAGTAATAGGATTAAAGGGCTTTTGGACGCAGGACAGTGCGCCCTTTCCAGAACAAACATCAAGGGGAGTCTGAGAAAGAAGGTCGGTATTGTTCCAACACAATTATGTGATGGCAGGGGTTTGTGTAGGAAAGAAAACACACTAAACGAACACAGGAGACATTGCGAAGCTGATATGGTGCAAAACGTATACTAAATTATGTAAAAATTATTTTAAACTTTTCCTCCTCTAAAGTGAAGCTGAGCAGAGGGGCTCTGTGTTTAAATTAAATGTGACTGGCGGTATGGGCAGGTCACGAACCTTCATCATCTTAACAAAAACATTCACACTGCACAGCCCCAACAAGAGAAAGCAGCTTTAGCCAAGTAGACGCACATACACATACTTCCTTCCTCTGCGGTCAATCTGCCAAACATTTGTAGAGTGCGGGGGATGAAAAGATCACCCTCTTGTTCCAACCGCTTCTCCGCAGAGAGACAATCTGAGGCGCTCTTGAAATGGAAAATACTTCAGTGCCGTGCTGTACCATGATGTATATACATTTCAATTTCAGCAGGCAACTATTTTTACAGCTACATTATTGTTCCAGCCACAATTAATCGCAAAAATGTATATACAATTACAAATGATTATATATAAATCGTCAGTTTGCTGTTTTACACACATCCACACAGACATGATTTCCTTAACAAAAACATTCACACTGCACAGCCCCAACAAGAGAAAGCAGCTTTAGCTAAGTAGACGCACATACACGCACACATACTTCCTTCCTCTGCGGTCAATCTGCCAAACATTTGTAGAGTGCGGGGGATGAAAAGATCACCCTCTTGTTCCAACCGCTTCTCCGCAGAGAGACAATCTGAGGCGCTCTTGAAATGGAAAATACTTCAGTGCCGTGCTGTACCAACATCAAAATTATTGAGTTATGTGGAGGGAAAAAACAATGTCTTTTTGAAAGAAAGGGAGTGTTTAGAGCTGTTTGCTAGATAAGAATCTTATTTACACAGAAGAATGAGCATCCAGTTTGAAGACAAGCATTCTTTGATAGTTCAAATGTGTTGAGAACACTAAGAGGGCTGTGCTCGGCTGCTTGGATCACCCTCTGTCAGACTCCAAGGTGCCAGCCACCGCTCCATTCAAAACACTCATTACATTACACTGCTATTTCACACTACAAATCCATTTTACACCAGCATCCAAGCCGGCATTTGTGTTACCAAGACCTGTGCCGTTCAGCTTGAGATGAGGTGATGGGGTTGCTGTGGTTTCAAGTCAACATGAATTCAAAATGTTCACCTTCACCTGTGCCATCGTTACTAAGTAACGGGGTAAACAGCTGCTGGCTTGATGACGCAAACGAACCCCGGTTCGGACCCAAATAATATAATGTGAACACAGTCCAGTGGGGGCAGGGGGAGGGGGGAGCAATCGAACTTGGGTTCGGACCAGGCAATCGAACTGTGAAAGCACCCTAGGAAATTTAAAAGCACAGATCAAACATCAGCTTTCAGGCCTTAAAAATCATACATTAAAGGTCCCATATTTTCAAAACTGAAATTTCATGGCTTTTTTCACGATAACTGAGGTCTAGGGGCTATTTAACTACCATATAAGTTTCAAAACAGTAACAGTCCACAGTAAAATGCACACAGCCTGTATAAAGTAGCTGTGATTTTTCACAAACCATTGTGACTTCCGTAAAAAGTTGACGTCAGAACTACACAGTCACCACCTTCAGTAACCTAGAAAAGGTTAACTTTAACCACGAAACCAGATCGGCCGACCTGTAACGTTACACTCTCACT